AGGAGAGGGAGGGAGAGGGAGAGAGGAAGAGGGACGGAGAGAGGGAGAGAGAGGGAGAGAGGGTTACAGATGGACAGGGACTCAGATTGTCTCCTTCCTCGAGAGGGTACCATCAGCGAGGGTCTCAAGGAGGCTGCCTCAAAATGACCGAGGGGGTGGGAAGGTGAGAGCGAGTGATTTACTGAGGGACAGCGTCAGAGGGAGTGAGGGAGACAGAATGGGAAAGAGAATGTCAGGGAGAGTATGTGAGTGAGAAAGAGAGAGAGTGAGAGAGCAAGAGTGAGGGAGAGAGTGGATGAGGGAGAGTGTGAGTGGAGGACGTAGCGTGAGTGAGAGAGGGAGTGAGGGAGAGACTGATTGATTGGAGACTGAGAGAAAGTGTGTGAGAAGGGTGAGAGCGATGGGTGAAGGAGAGAGTGTGAGAGAGGGACAGAATGAGAGAGGGAGGGAGACAGCGTGAGGGAGTGATTGCGAGAGAGACAAGGGGAGAGTGAGACAGTGAGTGATGGAGTGGGCGCGACAGAGTGAGGAAGTGAGAATCAGAGAGTGAGGGCGAGTGCGTGAGAGAGTGAGAGAGGGTGAGAGTGAGGTCGTGACTGAGGGAGAAAGTGTGTGAGAGAGTGAACAAGAGAGAGCGTGTGTGAGGGAGAATGAGAGGGAGTCAGTGAGTGGCGAGGAGTGTGAGAGAGTGAGTGAGAGTTAGAGTGGGAGAAGGAGAGGGGGTCAGAGAGAGAAGGAGTGAGTGAGTGAGAGAGTGAAGGACTGAGACAGTGTGAGAGAGAGAAAGTAACTTATTATGAGAGAGAAAGAAAGTGAGTGAGAGAGAGAGTGAGGGAGAGTGTGTGAAGGATTGAAACTGAGCGAGTGTGAGGCAAGACGGATGAGGGACAGAATGCAACACAGCGAGTGTGAGAGAGTGAGGGCGAATGAGTCAATGAGGGACAGGATACAGGAGTGAGAGGGAGCAAATGAGTGAGAGTGAGAGAGATACAGTGAGAGAGAAAGAGGTAAACAGAGAGTGCAAGAGAGTTGTGAGGAAATCAGTGAGTGTGAGAGCCCAAGACAGAAGTGCGAGAGAGTGAGAGTGAGGGCAAGTGAGAGGGAGGGAGTGTTACAGTGAGGAGTGTGAGCGGTATAAGGGAGAGTGTTACAGTGAGGGGTGTGGGGTATATGGGAGAGTGTTACAGTGAGGGGTGTGGGGTATACGGGAGCGTGTTACAGTGAGGGGTGTGGGGTATACGGGAGAGTGTTACAGTGAGGGGTGAGGTGTATATGGGAGAGTGTTACAGTGAGGGGTGTGGGGTATAT